GTCTGAAAATTTGACTCAATCCATCCATCCATCCATTTTCTGTACACGCTTCTTCCTTTTCAGGGTTGCGTGGGTCACTGGTGCCCATATCCAGCAGTCACAGTGCGAGGGGCGGGGTACACCCTGGACAGGTCGCAAGTCCATCACAATGTGACAAAATCCATCCATCCATCCATTTTCTGTACACGCTTCTTCCTTTTCAGGGTTGCGTGGGTCACTGGTGCCCATATCCAGCAGTCACAGTGCGAGGGGCGGGGTACACCCTGGACAGGTCGCAAGTCCATCACAATGTGACAAAATCCCAGTCACAAATAGAACCAGAATTAGAGCTCAAAGAAAGCACCCGACGGCCTATAAAAAGAAGCCCACATGGCCCATTTGTTACCATAAAACCGGCAATGTAACGGTGCGCAACGAGACTGCCAATGCAATGAAAATTGAAGCACAGACCACTCCTCACCCAGCTCAGGACCCAGAAAAATACATCACCGTGGATGAATGCTTAGCAGACATCACACACCTTGACCCCTGCATCTGGAACACATGGGTAAAATGTAAAGACCAAAACTTTATGCCCCTGGGCCCGCTGTGGTTCCAGACTTACTATTATACCAGCTTCAGATTAATCTTCAGTCCTATCAGGGCTATGTATGAAGATTGGCTGAATTCTACCTTTCCATGGATATGGATTAAAGAAAATGTGGTCCACTWTGAAGGAGATTTCCCTGAAGGCTCCGAAAGGGGCCGTGGTGGACTCATGGGCCCTTACCGGTCACACATGTATGTCCAAAAATTGCCAACTGTCCAGGAGTTAAAATCAGTACCCAAAGGAGATTTTGACAAAATAGACAAATGTGTTGCTAGAAGAATTTTCCTCAGCCTCAATGGTTCTGAATGGGAAGGACATGGCCTCCCTAGATGTAAACTGCGGCAAGTTGATATCTCCTTTGTGTCAACATGGAGGTATGACTGCACAGGCATCCTGAAGTACAACAGCACCAAAGAATTGCTGCAAGGATGGATTGAAGGACACAGTAGAAACAAACTCCGGACATGGTGGGGGTTTCAAAGAGAAGAAATGGAACATTGGGTGAACCCCTGCCTATCCCAGTCCGACAATTATTGGGTAAAATATCAGCATATAGCAACAGTGTACTCAAAATAGCATGATATATGGTCCTCTCCACTTTACAGACCGGACAGGTATGTTAGCYCAAGACCATGGAAATTGTCCTGTATCAAAAGTGGGCACACTTGCACAWTAAGCCAGATTTGTGAGACTAAACCATCCCGATTCACATTGTTTTTGTGAAAACCAACGAACAAATAAAGTTTATGAGCTTGGTGTAACTCTGTCTTCTGTTGTGAACATAGCATGTCTGCAATTGGAATCATGCATGGCATATATCCTTCAGTACAAAAATGCAAATGAAGACAAAATGGCATTTCTATTTTTAACTTAGAATAATATAAGCGGTCACTATTGAAAATCAAATAGAGCCTGTTGAAAAACTAAAGCTTTCTAGAYGTTTGTGTTAAAATTATATTTTTTTCATGCTCTGAATGCTCGGTACTGCAACCTATTTATCACACTGACCATCAGTGAAGTTATTTTCTGGTCCATCCAAATATATTCAAATGGATTCACCCTCTGTAGTGGTTAGGTCACACAGGCATTTTATTTTTTCAATTTCCTTAAATCACTTCTAGTTGTTTTGATTTAAAGAGCTTTGCTTCAGTCATGTTTCTGGAAAAGTTTTATATTACGGGTRTGGTGCACAGAGTTATATCACCCTCATCGTGTTACAGTTTATCAGAGCTATAGACTGCAACAATTTATTTGCATTTCACAATTGTTTATGTTGTCCTAACTTAAAACCAGAAGCAACTAGAAGCATAAATGCAACTTGACACTGCAGCTAGTTTGTTTTAATTATCATGATCCATCTTAACACCAGGTGAGAACAAGAACCAAGGCATATGGTATCTGTTAGTATCTGTAACACTGACAGACCAACTAATTATATCAAGTCACATGCAATCAAACTAGTCTCTTTTTTTAAGTTTACTGCAACACAGATAAACAGTTTGAATAAAAGAGAAATAACTGGAATAAATCAAAAATGTACTTCTTAATAAAATAACAAAAAACTGTTTTCGTTTATCTTTGTGTTYCACTCCTAATATGTTAATAAAAACATTTTTTATTAAAAATATTCAAAAGACTTTGAAGTTTTTTCTTCTTTCGCATGGTTTATCTTTGTGTTTACATGTGTCACTACAAGCTATTCTTTCACATCAAGAACAAGCAAAATTTAKAATAAAATACCTTGAAGGGATGTTCTCATCTCAAAGGACTGGAAAGCTCTTGGCTTGTTGTTTCTATTCCTAATTTTGTTTGGGTTGTACAAATGAGATCCAACTCCTAATCAGGGAGCTTTGGCGGTTGCTGGCAGGAGGATTTTGTTTTCTYGAGACAAGAGCCAAGCGCTTCACTTCTTCTACATCTGGACTTCATGTAAAGCTATAGGCTTAGTTCTTACCACCAGCTACAGGAATGGCCTTGGAAAAAAGTATCAGATGGGGRGGTGCTGTGAGCAAATCACGAATTACTCATGATAGCAAAGTGTACATTTAGTAGTGCACGTCGCTTTGTAGGAAAAATATGTGTTGTTCAAAATGGTATGTCCGAATAAACAGGAATCAGCTGGATTTGTTCTTTAAAACTTTATTTTCAATCTTCTGACTCCAGTCAGGTTCATACAGCATTCAGCAGCACAGGCCTCAGCGTAAGACCTTGAGCTGAATCAAAACAAACACAGGACCTCTTCTCTGAGCAGACTCGGCCCAACACTCTGACAACTTCCCTCTACTATAATAATGAATTGACCTTATAATGTACATCTCTTCCTGGTTACATCCCTGGAGGTGTTACCTTGCATCGGATATCAGAACGTAACTCATTTTGTTTAGACTAAAGAAAGAACACATGATAAGACACACACCAACTCTTATTCTGTTATGGCCTTAAAGCTGCAATGATCAAAAAAGTATAAAGTACAATACTGCATCTAGCATTCAATTAATCATTTACAAAATTTCCTTCAGCTTGACTGAATATTGTCATTAACGAACATGTCCAAAAAAAGGCCATTCACTAACATTTTGTTGAACTGCCTTTAGTTTTGACTAAAGCACACATTTGCTGTGGCATCTTTTCTACAAGCTYTTGCAGTGTCACAACATTTATTTTCTTTCCAGAGTTTTATGATCTTGTATTGATGTTGCGAGATTCGGACCACTGTGAAATWTCTTCTTCAGCACATCCTAAATATTCTCAATGAGGTTCAGGTCTGGAGTCTGTGATATTCAATCCATGTKTGAAAATGTCTCATGCTTCCTGAACCCCWCTTTCACAATGAATCTAGGCTTTRTCAACTTAGAACATGCCTGTGTCACCAGGGAAAAGAAAATTCATTGATGGAATAACCTGGTCAGTCACTGATTTCAGGATGTCAGCTGACCTCATAACATTGCTCAGCCTAGACCAGACCACCTGCTCCCAGGTACAGTAGGTACTAGGCATGATGAGTGCATCACTTCAGCCGCCTCTCTTCTTACCCTGATGGGCCAATCACTCGAGAACAGGGTCAATCTGAACTCATCAGACCACATGATCTTATTCCACTTCACAGTTTTTTATCCAATTTTAGCAGTTTCAGTAATGTCCTTTGAAGTTTTCTCKGCTTGATGACAATAATTTGAACTTTCTGAAACTGATTTACATCTTTTCTACAACCCCAGGATGTGTCTTTTCAGACGGTTGTTTAACAAATGGGGAGCTACTCACTGCATCAGTTAGASCTCAATAACTTATCAGATGAAACATAATCACCCATGCTGTAATTGTCCAATGAGTGACATTTTTATTAGCCTTTTTTAAATCCAGGTGATGATTTTTATTTTTGGCCAGGCARTGTAAGAGCTGTCTGATTTGGACATACAATATTTAATAGCAGTTATAACCTAAATCTTGATTTTTGTGTGTTTAAGTAGTTGCAAAAAAAAAATGCACACACATGTAATTACAGTGCTGGTTTATAAACCAGAGTTACAAAACTCAATGTTATGTAAATGTTATTGGAATTTAAATATGTGCAGCACTGATAAAATATTTTTTCCCTGACCAAATTAATTATAAATTTGAACTTTGCATCCACCCAGGCATGCTGCAGCACCTCCACTCCCCTACATCAAGGTTCCAGCCACAGAGAACTGGAGTCCAGTTAGACCCATTTTCCCTTCAGAGTTAAAAACTTTCTTTTTCATTGTTTTAGCCAGAAACAGAACTAACAAGAAGGCAGCAAAAAGTAAAGAATCAGGGAAAACTCCTAAATTCTTCATGTAAATTGACTATAATAATAATAATAATAACAATAATAATAATAATAAATTAATTAATAATTTTAAATCTCTCTTTTCATGGTGAATTAAGTGTTTCTTCTGTTTTGTTATATTTAATAAATATAAAAGAGTGGGAAATCCACAATTATTTGYTTATTCAGTCAGTACAGCTGGCACCGAAAATTGTTTAAATATAATGATGTGTTTCTTTTTCGAGACCCTCTTGATACAAGAGAAAACTCAGGTTTTTAAGAAAATGGCCACACACCAATTGTTAGTCGACAGAGACGATCAAGCAAATTTAGATTAATTCAGCTATCCATAACTTGCATCCCTATTTCAAACCCTCTCTAGTAAGCAGATCGCTCAAGTTATTATTGACAATTTGTACCTGTTGGCTGGAGAAGATGAACACCAGGGAGGCTCCAGCAGCAGTCAGACCCCAGGTGAACAGAGTCCCCAGCAGGGCCTGRGTCAGAGGGCTGTAGCCTTCTAGCATGGTGCCAAACCTGAATAAACAACACACATAGTTATGACAAAAGAAATCTTTCTAAGAAATCGTACTAAGAACTTTTTTCAGGCATACAAGTAAAACAAGGTCAGACTGCAATGTCACAGCCACTTCAGTGCTTTCAGATACACCTAAAAAGCTAGTAACAAATGATTCCCATCTAGGGACCTAAATTTGAGATATATTCAACCTAAAAAGAAGCAAAACAACTGCATGACCTTCAAWGGGCTTCTGTCTATCTATGAAGGYCAAAGATCATCGAGACTGACAGGAGACTAAACAAGAAGCCAGGGCTAAAAAAACTAAGGTGGACTCCTCTAAAGTCAACACGTGTGTCTCTAAACTGTTAGTTTACTGCTCTGGTACACACCCGCTCTATTTGTTTAGATTTAGAGCAAATAAACATCATGTTTGCTCTGGATTAGAAGATCCTGGATTTCCCTGAGAATAAACACACTGTAAGCTTACTCATTGCTTTTTTAGGCCTGCCAACAATGTCACATTATGGGTGAGTTTTAAACTACATTTGTGAACAAGAGATCACACACTTGTTTTAAGACGTTTATTTATTTTTTTGTGTAACTTCGATCCACATCTATATATTGATTGATTGAAACAATCCATATTGTCATTATATGCCTGATGTAGATCGTATATTGATYGCAGACTTGTAAATTGAACTGAATAAAAGCGTATCATGACAGACTTTGTGATGTTGAGAAACATTATATTGTCATCCAAACAATTATATAAAGCTGGTGATTTGCACTCACCGGCCACTTTATTAGGTACACCACGCTAGTAACGGGTTGGACCCCTTTTGCCTTCAGAACTGCCTCAATTCTTCGTGTCATAGATTTAACAAGGTGCTGGAAGCATTCCTCAGAG